TGCACACCCCCAACTGGGGATCCAGCCCACAACCCGGGCATGTGCCCTGTCCGGAAATTGAACCCTAATCGCCTGGATACTAGGCTGATGCTCAACCACTGAGCCACGCCCGGCCGGGCAATAGATGTGTTTTTTAACCATATTTGATCTCGTCCAAAATGTTTCCCCAGAGTTCCATCATTGGTAAATTGGATGTTAAAGAAGCACTTGGATGTCTTTGCTAAAGGAGTTATAGACAGAAGTTGGACACAGAATAGGCAAAAATACAAAAATGCCTGTCATAAAAATCATTAGGTCCCTTTCTTCAGACTGTTCCTACTGTAATATCTGTTTCTTTGTTGTTGCTTGTTTCTTTTTTTTCCTTTTTTTTTATCCTTCAGGCATGGATCCCAAAATACAAAGGTCCAATCTCCCCAGAGAGTGCATCCGGCATTTCTTCCCAAAACGGAAGTGTTTTGTCTTTGACCGGCCAACAAATGATAAAAAACTCCTAGCCAATATTGAGAAGGTTGAAGAAAACCAACTGGACCCTCAATTCCAGGAACAAACAAAGAATTTCTGTTATCACATCTTCACCCAGGCGAGGACCAAGACCCTCAAAAAAGGAATCCTGGTCACCGGGAAACGTGAGTCTCCTTTTGACATTCTGTGGGGCCTAATATTTGTTTAGTTTATTCTATGATGTGTTCTCCAGGATTTCTGTTTGGTTCTATATTGAATTTTGGGTCTAAAGATATTCAAACTCCATTGAAGACAAAAGTATACTCATCACATTATTGGAGGGTTATAAATTCCTCTCCAATATTACAACCTTTATCAACAAAGTCTGCAGCATCCATACATATAAAAAATCTTCAAGTATAATAAATCACTAACTGGGTATAAAAACAGAATACACCGTTTCCTCAAAAATTCCTTTGTAAGGAATGTGATTTGCAAGGAGAATACAAAACATATTTTGAGAGTTTAGGGTAATTTAATAATGAATATTAGCCCACAAAGCTCTGAAAATTTACTGGAAGCTTCAGAATTAGGAATAAATATAATGGCAGTTCCCCTGCCTCATCTGTACACCTATGTAAACAATTTGCTTCTAATATTTTTAATGGGAAATTATGTTTTCCAGATATCCTTTAGTATGTTAGATAATGGTAGATATTGAATTTGTTTTAGCCTTGTGGTCTGAATAAACATAAAAATTAAGAGTCTGTGGGGCAATAGTATTAGTGGAGGAAATATGATCTTCTACAGTGTTGTGTGAAAATAATTTCAGGGACCCTCGTGTTGGAGTCGTTTTTAGCGATGGTTGCAAGGTTTATTAAAGCGAAAAGCAACATTACACTCTCAGGGAGACAGAGAGCGGGCAGGCTAGAAGGCAGCTATTGCCTGGAGGCCTTGTTAAGCTTCCTTATATATCCTGGGGTTTGGGAAAGGGCAAGCTTTCTTTCAAATTATCCTGTCTCTTTAGGGTCTTGTGTCCTTTTATCCAATCTTTTCCCTAGATTTTCCCAGGCTAGTGCCCTCCCCCTTTTATTGCCTTCATTTGGCTCTTACTGCACATGCCTTATAGTTCTGCTTCATCATTTGGCTTCTGCGCATGTACTTAGTAAAGGAATTCCTTCTGTGCCATTTTCTTGCATCCCAGTTAGTTGGGTGTACTCCCTAGGGTGACTGAAAAGCTGTTTTCCCTCACTTAATCAGGCTTAATCAGATGTGTGATTACATTTGCTTCCTGGCCTATTGTTAGTATCTAACTAACTACATACTCCAAGAATAGTAGAAGGAGGTAATGTGTTTGTGTTTGTGTGTGGAGTGGCGTGGGGAATGTGCATATGTGTGTGTTTGTGAGAGAGAGAAACAGAGAGAAAGACACAGAGAGAGAGAGAGATTTAGAAATGTAGTCTCAGAATCTTGGATCCCACTGAATGATAACTTGATATTTATCCCTTAAATTTCCTGGCTTTTTAGGGCTAAAGACTCTGGTGGTGACTTATGTGGATGCCATCAACAGTGGAGGAGTGCCTTGTTTGGAGAACGCGGTGACAGCTCTGGCCCAGCTTGAGAACTCGGCGGCCGTGCAGAAGGCAGCCGAGCACTACAGCCAGCAGATGGACCAGCTAGTGGAGTTCCCCACAGACACGCTCCAGGAGCTGCTGGACCTGCACGCAGCCTGTGAGAAGGAGGCCATTGCAATCTTCATGGAGAAGTCCTTCAGGGATGAAAACCAGGTGTTCCAGAAGCATCTTGTGGTAATTTGTCTCAGTATTTATTTACCCTTTGTGGCCCTTCCCTTGAAGAATGAAGCCTGGAAGAGCTTCTGTGACCCCCTTCCTCCTCTCTCTCTCCTGGATTAAGCAGCCTGGATTCTTATGAGCGATAGAGCTTCAAAAGACTGCATTTTCTTCCCTTCCTCCCCCCAAACCTTAGGAACTTTATGCAAAAATTTCTCTGATCTCTCATGCATAATCGGTACAGATAGCTTTCTGAAAAGAATACCTGTATTGNGATCTCTCATGCATAATCAGTATAGATAGCTTTCTGAAAAGAATACCTGTATTGAATTCAAGCCTGCCCAGAACACCCAAAAGCCATTCCTTGGCTAATCGCTTTTTTGAGAACACTCTCCCATTCAAGGAACCAAACCTCTCCTAACAGACCCTCATTCCAGGCTATTTTGAACTCCTATGAGCTCCTCGTGGTATCACTGTGTCATCCAAGATGGAATTGCTGAAAGTCAGAGCTGCTAGGAACCATAGGGACAAGGGAATGCAAGTCGAACATTGTTGATGAAGAACCTGAGACTCAGGGAGGTTAGAAGCTTTCCCCTGCCCCAGGTGGCATTTTCAGTGTTGTAAGTCGAGTCTCGCAATTCCTGCTTTATTCCATGTCCTTCTCTAACAGAGTGCTTTGCTCATGAGGACCACAGCTAGACTTCCCTCTACCAGATTCTATGGAATTTTATCTCCTCTCTTCCTTTCTTCTAATCATATCCCTCTATACTTCCCTTGCAGCAGATGATCAGGGATAAGAAGGATGAGTTTGTGCGGAGGAATGAAGAGGCATCTACCAAATACTGTGAGGCTGAACTTGAACAGCTTTCAGTGAACCTACTGGAAAGTATTTCAGCAGGCATTTTCTCTGTTCCTGGTGGTTACGAGCTCTACATGGAAGCAAAGGACAGGATTGAACGGGACTACTGGCAAGTGCCCAGGAAAGGGGTGAAGGTGAGGAACAAGGGGAGCATAGGGATCCTACTGATTAAAGTCAAGAGGGTCTCCTGAAAATCTGTGAGCACAGCACCAGTTGTGGGTAACATGAGAGCAAGGGGATATCATGACCATTTTAGCTTTTAGGGCCCATTATTTGTTCTGTCTTACTGAAGAGAGAAGAAAAGTCCATTCTCAAAAATGAATATGGATTTCTGAAATCCAGAAGAGACAGAAGAGAAATAATCATTTTTCTATCCAACCATATGACATTCAAAGGCAGAGAGTTTACGAATTAAAGTCAGAGTCTTTGCTTTCAAGGCTGATCGAACGAGAAAAGGCAGCCAAACACACAGACACCTTCACACAGGGTTACAATCCTTATGAACCTGAGATCATTGGCTCCCTAGCTGATGGGAACACATAATATTAAAATAATAATGATGATTTTGCAACTAATACACATCAAACGGTTATTGTTAAGGCACACTATGAAGCTCTTTCCCTCGACTTTTAATTTAATCCTTCAAGTAGCATTAAGAAGCATCTACACTTTTTGTCAACAATTTACACATCCGAACTGAGAGGCAGAGACGGGTTAAAACGACTTGCCTGAAGTTACAGCGAGCAAGTGACAGAGGAGAACAGCAGCACTAATTGGAGACATTTCACCCTGGAAGGCAAATGTGAAAACGCAGCAGAGACTGTGGGTTTGTAGGTGTGAACATGGTTCTCCCTGGCTGGAACCTGGAGTGGGTAGAAGGAGGCAGCTCTGGGAGAGACACTGGAGGGAGACAGGAGGCAGTAGGGCATGGAGGGCCTCTGGTCACTCCAAGGAGCCTGGACACTGTGTAGGACACGATGCAGTTTTAATCATGAAGGAAAAATTACAGGGACATACTTGTTTTTGCAGCACTGTTCTTCCCAGTGGAGATCAAGTTCTTTTTCCTTCTTGTTTCCTCAGGCAAAGGCGGTGCTCCAGAGCTTCCTGCGGTCGCAGGTGGCCATCGGGAAGTCCATCCTGCAGGCGGACAGAGCGCTCACGGACAAGGAGAAGGCCATGGCAGGTACGGGCAGGGTGGGCTCATGGTGGGCCGCGGGCCCCGCAGTGTCCTCGGGCAGCTGCGAGAGCAAAGCCTTCCTGCAACAAGGAGAGTTTGCTTCTTCTGTGGGCCGTACTCTGCTAAATCTGAAAACATTCGGGCACAGCAGCCAGGCAGGGCCTTTCCCGCCGCACTGTGAACTGTGCTCTTGACGGTGCCAAGGTGGGAATTCAGAGTCCTCCCCCTCCCTTTCCAGTTTGGTTTGGTCTCTGAGCTCAGGAGGGTAGAGATCAATCCTCACATACTTTCCTTCCCTCTCTCAAACCTGCCTGGGGCAGAGGAGCGGGCCAGGAAGGAGGCAGCTGAGAAGGAACAGGAGCTGATGACACAGAAACTGCAGGAGCAGCAGCAGCAGATGGAGGCGCAGAAGAGGAGTCTCGAGGAAAATATATGTCAACTGAAGGAGAAGATGGAGAGGGACAGAGAGAACCTAATCAGAGAGCAGAACTCGATGTTGGAGCATAAACTGAAGGTAAGTCCTGCGGTGGCCTCAGGGCGCTCAGTGGCCCTTATCCGGGTACCTCCGCTGGGCCGGAGGGGGTTACAGCCAGACCGTGGGAGGAAACGCCGTTGCCATTTACGACTTGTGTTTTAGTAAAACCTTGAATCTTCCCCTCCACCCCCTTCTTTGTGAAAATATCTTTGAAATCACCTCTGATGTGGTCAGGACAAGCATCTCACCTCTGAATACTTGGAGAATATAAATAGCATTTGAGGTGCTATTTGGGGGCATTTTAAAATGATCTCATGTGGCCTGATTAAACAGCTATTTGAAACACCATTATTTGTTATGACCACCAACTGGTTTGCTTTACCAAGATCATTATGTATTATCAGGAACCTTATGTATTATCAGGAACCCTACTACCACCCAAAGACCCTGAGGTAGATCTATGCTCACAATAAACCATTAGAAATGTCCAGACTTCAAAACTCAGGGAAATGACAGCTTTTAAACTGGCTGCATTGTTTCCAAGTGTGGATAGTTTACCCAAGTTACCATATGGCAAAGGAAGAATTCCTGATTGGCTCTCTGTACATGTTAAAATAGAGCTATAGAACAATGTAGGATTTCCCATGGCTTCCACACTTTGGTTGACCACATTATTCCAAGTGGGACTGAGAGTTAGTGCCAGCAGACCAAGGTTGCCTCTCAACTGTAATTATGACTGGCACATATTACATTTGTCCTCAGGCCAGGCTTAGCATCCCAGAAAACCCTATTGATGTGTGAATATTTGTGAAGCTGTAAACGATGCTTTCTTTCAGTTTTCGGTCCAAGACAGCGTGTATTGTTGCAAAATTTTCCTTGATTGTGTAAGAGAGAGCAATTTTAAGAGCGAAAGAAAAGACTTCAAATATTTAAGAACATGTTCTTAAATACAAAATGTAATTCTTGAGAAACTGTGAATTTAAAAAGTTTTACTTCCCTCCTCATTTTTTTTAAGGTTCAAAGAGATCTGCTGAAAGAAGGATTTACAAAGAAATCTGAAGAGATGAATGCAGAGATCAATCGTTTGCGAAAGATGATTGATTCTACTGAAGATGACACTCCCTGGATTGCAAAAGCCTTAGATAAACTTGGCACTGAACTCACTATTATATTGTCTGCTCCTGCTCAACTTGTTGGTTCTCTTGTAAAAGGCATTGGCTCACTATTTAAAAAGAAATAGTTCTCCTTTGAAGGAAATTATAGAATGTGGATATATGCTATGGCTTGCTTTGGCATGCATTGTTTTCGATTTCATTCATCCACATTTTAAACATAAAAAGTGAGTACTAAAATATATAAATGCTGAGCCCACGTTAAATAGAATAAATGCACATACTCTTAGATATAGTATGTTCACTTTTTGAAATACATACGTTGCCCGGCTGGGCATGGCTCAAAGGTTGAGCGTTGACCTAGGATCCAGGCGATCAGGGTTCGATTCCTGGTCAGGGCACATGCCTGGTTGCCGGCTTGATCAGTGACTCTCTCATCATTGATGTTTCTATCTCTCTCTCTCCCTCTCCTTTCCTCTCTCTGAAATCAATAAAGATATATTTAAAAAAAAAAGAAATATATATGTTTAAATAAATACACTTACAAACAATCCATTGAGTTATCACTTTAAATGACAAAAGATTGGAAACTACTTATATATTCACCTATGTAAATTGGTAATATAAATTTAACATGTGCATATACCGGAATACTATGCAGCTAGTAAATAAATTGAGAGTTCAGACCCATTTTTATAAATATGCAAGAATCTTGAAAATACATTTAAAGTGGAAAAAATGAGGCAAAAAATGTGTATAATGGGCTTTCTGGGAAAATGTAATTATTGTGTGCAATCCTACATTTGTACGCATTGAATATCTATGGGAGCCCTGGAAGAAGCTAGTACTATCAGTTCCTACTTGGGAGAAGTGGGTGGGATCAGGGTTTACCAGTCACAGGTTTTTCATTATATACTCTTGCTTTTGAATCTTATAGAGAAATCTTGTATTACCATTTCATAAATAAATAATAAAGAAAATGTAAAGTGTAAGAATAATTTTATAACAATAATAAGAATGTAAAAAAGGCTATTAGATGATGAAAGTTCTCATTGCTTCTAGAAATGACATCAACCTGCACAATTGGGGGTTTAAGATTAAGTATAGAAAGTATAAAATTTGTATCCTAATCTTGTTTTTATTTGAGCCTTGTTCTCAATCCATTATATTTGCTTCAGAACTAGGATATACACTCTCCTGTCTCACTTTGAAATCTCAGCCAGAGCATCTTCTACTTGCTGTCACCGAACTATACTTTTAAGGTATTAGAAGCAAATTACCAAACGTAAGAATATGCACTGGTGAGAGGGATCCTATCATCCTTCAAAGTGCAGTGGTGGCCTCACTGCTACAGGGAAAAACAGAAGGGACATGTGCCATTGCAGAACTGGATGGCCTGATAGTTTTGGGGATGATACACCTTGACACGTGGAGGCCAGGTGTTGGCACATAAATATCAGAAAGCAATTAGATACAATGATATTAGTAATCAGCATCATGGTTTGTCTTAGCTCAGGCTGCTATAAGACGTTACATAGATTGTGTGGTTTAAAAAGCAGTTATTGATTTCTTCTGGTTCTGGAGACTGTTAGTTCGAGATCAGTGTGCCAGTATTGGTGGGTTCTTGGTCAGAACTCTTCCTGATTTACAGATGGCTTCTTTCTTGCTGTGTCTTCCATGGTGGAAACGGTGAGAGGAGCTCTCATGATTTTTATTGTAATGGTAGTCAAACAATAGTGCAAGAGAGAGTAAGTTAGTGAAATATAATTGTCAACTTATTATTGTGTGGTGGAAAAAAATAACTTTCAAAAGTGGGTGCAAAATATGTATTTGGCGGAGAGTTTTCTTGAATAAGTCAAGTCTAAAAAAGTTCTAAATATTTTACTTTAGGCAAAAATAAAGATAGCCCAAGTACAAAGTCTGCAATACAAAAGGGAATGCAGATCCAAAACAGCAGTGGATATGTCATATAATAAAACTGAGTGCATGAAAAAATCACAATAATGTGCTCTGGGATTAAAAATGAGAAGATAAAATTTCCATAAAATAATTCAGGAAGAGTCTGGATAGAGATCGAGTGTTATAAGGTCCTTGAATTGTTTTCAGGAGAATAAGGTGAGTAATTCTGAGTTTCACCATTTAAGTCTAAGTACAGTCATTTATAATGTAATCAGTTAAAGAACAGAGAAGGTTTTTAATTTCTATACTAGGAGACATAAAATAATTTTCACACATCTCAGTAAGTAAAAATAAAATAATAATAATTAACACATTTGGCCTACTGTACTAATGTAGAACCCTGCACCCAACAGTACAAGACACATCCTTTTTTTTAAGCACACTAAGAAACTTCACATGATCTTTACCTATACCACACCACAAAGCAGGATTAGTAATGTCTCTAGAAGCAGAGTCCTGCTGATGGGCTCTTGTGCATGTGTTTATTGAGGGAGTGTTTTCAGTAAAAGGGGTCTAAGGGAAGCAGGAATGGGCCAGAAAAGAAACATTAAAAGAGGCTATGGTTGCAGTAAAAAAATAGTTTCAAGCTGATCCACTGGAACCTCTGTAGCAGAAATGGCATGAGAGCTTGTCCCTCCTTGAGTAAAGTGCTCGACATTTGTACACCATCGGGCATTGTTTGGGGGCCATCCATGTTGAGCAGAGCAGCTACCATGCTCTCAAGGGAAATTCTCTGAAGAAAGGAGCAGCTGTGAGCCTTTTAGCAATGAACACTCACAGCAACAGGAGGATGGGTGCAGTGCCTTGTAAAGGTGATCTAACTGAGGCACTAACAATGAATAGCACCTATATATAGGTTAATAATTGCATACCTACCTTGTGCCAAGGTCTATGTATGCCACCCCTCCACTGGTGGGGTCCCTGCCATCTAAGCAGCCAGTTATCTAGATNACAGTCATTTATAATGTAATCAGTTAAAGAACAGAGAAGGTTTTTAATTTCTATACTAGGAGACATAAAATAATTTTCACACATCTCAGTAAGTAAAAATAAAATAATAATAATTAACACATTTGGCCTACTGTACTAATGTAGAACCCTGCACCCAACAGTACAAGACACATCCTTTTTTTTAAGCACACTAAGAAACTTCACATGATCTTTACCTATACCACACCACAAAGCAGGATTAGTAATGTCTCTAGAAGCAGAGTCCTGCTGATGGGCTCTTGTGCATGTGTTTATTGAGGGAGTGTTTTCAGTAAAAGGGGTCTAAGGGAAGCAGGAATGGGCCAGAAAAGAAACATTAAAAGAGGCTATGGTTGCAGTAAAAAAATAGTTTCAAGCTGATCCACTGGAACCTCTGTAGCAGAAATGGCATGAGAGCTTGTCCCTCCTTGAGTAAAGTGCTCGACATTTGTACACCATCGGGCATTGTTTGGGGGCCATCCATGTTGAGCAGAGCAGCTACCATGCTCTCAAGGGAAATTCTCTGAAGAAAGGAGCAGCTGTGAGCCTTTTAGCAATGAACACTCACAGCAACAGGAGGATGGGTGCAGTGCCTTGTAAAGGTGATCTAACTGAGGCACTAACAATGAATAGCACCTATATATAGGTTAATAATTGCATACCTACCTTGTGCCAAGGTCTATGTATGCCACCCCTCCACTGGTGGGGTCCCTGCCATCTAAGCAGCCAGTTATCTAGATCTAGGACCCTGTTTCTGAAACTTATTTTTCAGGCCTCTGTGGGTACAATCTACTGCTGGTTGAATTCCCTACAAAGCAAATTTTGAGATGGAAATTTGCATGTAAAATATTTATTAGGGAACACTCCTGGGATGAGTACTTATGTATGGATGTGGAAGGAAATTGGACTAGGAAGACAGAAATTTAGCTACAGTCTTAACAGTTCTCTCACCCATCCCAATGAAAAACTCTGGACTTTAGTAGTCCTTCTCATTTCCCCCCAGTTTTTAGGAGATTGGTCATTGAATGATGAACATCCTAGGAGGGGTCAAGACTTTGGGCAAGGTGACTATTCAGAAGGAGGCTGAAAACTGAGTTACATGTGTTTGTAAGAGAAGGCATAGTTCAGAACCATGAAATCCAGATGGTTAGGGGACATGGGAGAGGTGAAAGATTTGAGAAGAATGGATATATACTTCATTGAGTTTCAAGAGTATTCATGTAGGAGACCTAGAAGGAAGCTCACAATACAAAGAAAAGAGACTGTGATGGGCAAAGAATTGAATTTTTAACTGCAAGTTTCATAAGTGGAAATGTTAATTCCAAAATTTGACCATGTGTAGTAGTTCGGGATCTCCAAAACATCAGAACCAATAGGATGTGTATATATGTAGAAAGAAACGTATTAAAAGGAACTTGCTCAAATAATTATGGAGGTAATCAAGTCCAAAATTTGCAAGGTGCACCAGCAGGCCCAGGAGAGCTGATGTTCCAATTCTAGTCTGAAGACCAGGAAGAGCCAATGTTGCAGATGAAGTTTGAAGGCTACTGGAGACTTTAGAATATGGGTGCCTAATTATTTACAAATAAATACACCCTTGTAACTCCCACCCAGATAAAAATATAAAGCGTTATTTGAATTCCAGTAATGTTTCTACTTCTGGTTACCCAAGATTAACTACTACTCTGATTTCTCTCATCAAGCAAAGTTTAGTCTGTTTCTGAAGTTCATAGAACACAACTTCATGTACTCTTTTCTGACTGACTTCTTTGCTCAATGTTTTGTTTGTGACAGTCATCCTTGTTGCATGCAGAAGGAATTTGTTCTCTTCATTGCTCCACAAAACATTTCTCAACCTCAGTACTCTTGACATTGGCGCTGGGAAATTCTTTGTTGTGGGAACTGTCCTGGGCATTTTAGGACGTTAAACAGCAGCCCTGGCTCTAAACACCAGATGCCAATAGCACCTGTTCTGCTAAACAACCCAGCTGTGACAACCAAATATATCCCCAGTCATTACTAAATGTCACCTGGGGGCCAAATCACCACCTTTAGGAGCTATTGAGCTGGAATAATTAAAACCATCTCTATTCAATCACATCCCAATCTCATAATAGGTGTTTCAGGATCTAAGTAGACATAAGGGCTGAGAAAAGTGTGGAAGAAAGGGCCACTTAACAATGCCTAAGAAATATGTCTCCTTTATCTCAAATGTATTTAACTTGGTAGGCTGTGGGGAGAAAATAAAAGTAACATGATCCAAAACGCTGACTCATTTGTACTTCCTCAGGTCTCAATTTTTGCTGTTATTTCTTTATTAATGAGTAAGGAAGTGTGTGCTACTTTATTAAATTCTTAGTGCCTTTTTATTTTTTATTCGGAATGATAGAAGTAAATCATTTAATTCAGAATAAAATCCAAATCCTCAATATTAACACAAAGCAAATTTAAGCACAATCTCAAGTTCCTT